TGCATTACTTGTCATAACAGCTGCTTCACTTCTTTATCTCAAGATCTGATCAGTTTCCTGTTTCACTGGAACAACACTGTTTTAGACGGTGGTGTCCTGTTACAGCTCACAGATTAAATGGGACAAGCGTCCATGGGTCCCATGTCTTCCCAAGTCCAATCTTTTTGGACATTATTGTTAGTGGCTGTGGCAATACACCTCACAGGTAACGTTAGTATAACAACATGTGAATGATGACAATACTGAGATGTTGATGTTTATGTTTAGTATCTTGGTTTAAGATCTCACAGTGATAACACTTGTTAAATAGGGCATTACAATTTGTTTTGATGAGATTTGGTCATTAAGTATTGAAATGCACTTTGAAATTTAAACCTCATTATGTTAGTGGACAAATAAATAAATAAATATCCTTTCATTTTATCCACTGGCTGACTTTAAACCACAAATATGAAGCAAGATGACAATTGGGACGATTCAAGCTCTCTGGGATCAATAAACATTGACTTCATTCCTTCAAATGGTTGTTGACATGCACTAATCTGGATCAAAGACTGACAAGCAGGCACAGAACAACTCTGTCATCCCTGAAGCCGAGCCACAAATGATGCAGGGATCCAGAATTTTCCAGAGACTGTGACATACAAAAATACCACAAGAAATCGTATTTAGTGTCTTTGTCTTCCTCGTTGTCGCGTCATGCCCTCACTTTCACTGTGTTCTCTTTGCTACCTTGCCTGCCTGCCTAGTTTGTTTTTATACTCTCAGTTTGGTTAGTTTTCTGTTCCGTTGCTATCCAGCAATAAAGCTAAGTGTTTTGATTTATGTTTGCCTCCGTGAGTCCTGGATTTTGGGTCCTTTCTCAAACGAACACTGCAGCATCACTGAGAGAAGAGCATTCTAAACTCAACTCTTCCATCTTTAATAAAATGATCAGTGTTGCTGCTTTACCAGGTGTAACGATGAAGTTTAACATCCATGAAAACAGAATTTATTACATTTAACAGAGTTAGAAGTTAGCTCGCTAGTTTTCGCTTAAACATGATATACCATGTTTGTTTCTTTGTATGTTGAGAGATTTGTTTATTTATATATATATATATATTTCTCTGCCACTGGATAAAATTAAATTAAAGATTTTTTTTTCTTTTTTTTATCTTGTTCTTTTTCTTTGTCATGCTCAGGTCCCTTTTAGTCATCTTGTCTTTTCCATTCAGTGATTTGAGCTGTTTTTTTTCTTTTTCATTCTTGTCTTTTATTGAGGTTTCTTTTGATTTTCCTACGTCTCCTGTTTTGCATCAGGTTTTTGTGTCTGTGATTATCAAGTCAAAGGCTCTTGTTGGTGCCAGTATTTGTTTTGTTTGTTTTTGGGGGTCTTTTAGAAAGTTTAGGTGTTTTTATATATAATGTCATTTTTAGGATGTTTTCTTCCTCTTTGTGCTTCAGCCTTCTTTTTGACCACATACTTATTTATTTTCTTTTAATGCATTCTTCTACCATATTTCAAGGCTTATGTCGCAGGAAAACACAAGTGTCTCTGGACTGTTTTACCACATGCACCTGAAATTTGATTATACCCTTTCCCCATCCTCTACTGATATTTTTTTAGCATTAGGTATGAGACTTTATCAGAGGCAGACAGACTGTTTCACCTGTGCATTCAAAGACTTGTAGACGTAGTGCATCACATCAAGGTCTGCACCAATAAGCTGAACTGGAATTTACCTGAATATTGATCAGTGAAAGAGGATCTGTATCCTCAGGCCAAGTTCTTCAAAAACATTTAATAAAATAGATTGGATCTGCTCCTGTTACTGTCTCCTCCTGAAAGCTCCCAGCTGCACTTTACGGTCTTCTCCTTCTTCCTTCAACTGCCTCCATCTGCATGTCTCCTGCCACATATCCATGAATCTACCTCTACTCCTCGGCACATATCTAAACCATCTAAGCTTCTCCTCTCTGACTTTATCTCCAAACTGCTGAGTTTTGTGTCTGATGTACTCATTTCTAATCTTGTCCATTTTTTTCAATCCCAGTGAAAAATATTAACATTTTCAACTCTGCCACCCTGACCACCATGTGGTGCCAGAGCAAGCACATTTCATTCTATAACTAAGTTACCACAAATCCAAAACAGAGTTGCTCAATTAACATAAAGAAAACTGGATCAAACGATGCAGCGATTCCCCGAGGGGTCGGTACTCAAAAAGGCAGTGGGTGGCAACAGGTGATTTATTTGAGAATACACTTCCAACTTCATTTTTTGAAATTATATGACATTTATTTAGTCGACAAATATAAACAAAAATCAACCAATAATTTCTTGCAACTTAAACATTAATGAAGGTTAAGTTAATCTGATTTCACAAATTCAAAAAGTGGTCCAAAAAACATTTTTAACCCTCCCGTTTCACATGCTGAATTTGGCAAACAAAAACAAGCTCATTTACCACAGACCCACCAGTGTGCTCTTAATCTCCTTATTAATGGGAGGGTCCATAAGCTATAACACCAATCACTTTTCAAACACTTTCCAATAGTAAATTGAATTACAAATTTACATAACAAAACCTAGGTCTAGTATATTCTTACTACTTTTATAGAAAAACAAAAATGAACATTTTTACACCATTACATAAACATTCAACAAACATAACATATTCCAGTTAGAAATATCCCAGTGGGAATATTAAGATGATTTTTAGTATCATTTGCTTGGACAACTTCAGGGCTGTTGTGAATTTAGGTATTTGGTCAGAAAGTAAACTCAAACATGCATTTAAATTTTAACCTGATTAAAGTAGATGAAAATCAGGGGGTAACCAAAACTATCAAAGAATCAACTGCATCAGACCAAAGACTGGCCAACAGACCAAAACTTTCACTGATAGGATAATACTACCAACACAGCTAAAACAATGTCGACATGCAGAACTATTCCCAAGACATTAGGTAAATCCTGCAAAAAAAACCCTGTGTTTAATACAGATTAAATAGTGACCATAAAGTTATTAAGAAAGTGTTTACTAAGGTCATAAATTAATTAAACTTAAAATTCTTCCTCTTCAACATAACAATGCAGGTTCAGATTCAGTACTGTTTCTGTTGTCTGGACCAATGCATTCAGTCATAGGAAAAAGGAATTTTTACGGGATTCTGGGTAGTATGCAGTCATGTGTTTATGATAACTTTTTGCAGTATGATTATCCAAATGTGTGGTTGTACATTGTGTCTAAACATCTCCCCTTTGGTCTTGTTTGTCCAAAGGACATTGTTTGAGATATTTTGTGCTCTTGTTCTTTTTAGCGAGAAGATACTTTCCTCTTTTAACCCTTCCAAATACAGTAAGTGATACTTGCTTATTCATGTAGTACTATATATGTCATTTTACACAATTTGACCTAAAAGTGAGTTTGCTTGGATGTCTTCGGGGGATGAATATCATTTTATTAACACATACATGAAAGCTCCATAACTGCATTGGACCAAAGACTGACCAACACAACAACTTTTATAAATGTTGTGACACTTTGTGATGATCTGTTTTCTGCACCTGGATGACAGTGACTCTGTAATTTCCTATGGAAACAGTAAGGATGTACTTTTCAAAGGACTGAATGGGGATCTGTTAAAACTTTATTTTTACAACTGTGATCCCTCATCAGACAATTTAACTTTGAAGATTTTTAGTGAAAGGTTTCCATTTTTCAGATCATGAAAACAGGGACATTCTTCTGTCAAAGGACAGATGTGTTTCAGCCCACCATGTCACACAAGGATAAAATCTGGGGTCTAGGTAAGGCCTCAAGTGTGCCACAGTGAACACCAATCAGTTCAACTACTCCTTGAACTGTACCAGTGACTTTGGCCTGAAGAGAACATGGTTTTATTTGGTAACTGAAGTTGTATTCGGGAGCAAACAATCAGACAGATTTGTGGTAAACAGACAAACAGCTGCACTATGTGTGCACTGTACCATCAACTGGTTATTACTAGGAAACACACTTTTTTTCAAGAAATTATTTTCCAGGGAAACAAGTTTGTATGAAAGACAGGGATCAGGCCTTAGGACAAACGATGTGCAAATGCTCTTTCAAAGATAAGGTACATTTCTGTGCTAACAGTTTCAGCAGAAGAGACCTAATTATCAAGAGCTATAAAAGATAAAAGTAAATAGTCCAAACTAAACAGAAAATACTCTTAACAAAGAATATTAAATGTATATCCAATCTTTCAGCTATAAAACAATAATAATAATATTAATAATAATACAGAGTCACACAGTCAGAATAACGACAGAATAGTTTCATATGTGACTGTTACACTAGTATAATAATTAGTGAATGAAGCACAAAACTAAATGTGAGTATGATAAAGGCCAGTGGCATTTAAGTAAACATATACGTGAAACATCAGAAATTAAAGTACAAACATCTGCATTGAAATCCTCCCGCTGTCACAGTATTACATTACTTCATAGATTGTCCAGTAATACAAATTCACAGTAAGAAAAAACTGTAGCCTTCAACAATTCTGAAATTGATTCAATAAACAATCATGTAAAAGAAATATTGAATTACCGACATCAAATATTTATAAATCTCATGTGTGTTGTGTGTGTGTGTGTGTGTGTGTGTGTGTGTGTGTGTGTGTTGTAGTCTGTGTGTGTGAGTGAGTGTGTGTGTGTGTGTTGTGTGATGTGTGTCTGTGTGTGTGATGTGTCTGTGTGTGTGTGTGTGTGATGTGGTGAAGGCATTTAAACAGAGATCAGTTAAATAAAATTCAGGGGACCTATTTTTTTGCCCGTGACATCATTATTTGTAACTGTACTTTATTAATTGTCCAGAGCTTTGGTTGGTTCTGTTGGCACCAAATGTTCATCTTCAGAGATGTCACATTCTTTCACAGCCTCCTCAGGTTCTTCTTTGGCTTTTTGTAACTAAAGCAAAGAATTAATGCACACAATAAGAACCACTTTGTCATGGTCTGGGTGTGTGGCTGTAAAATTCCTGAAGGTCTGGACCTCCCTGGTATCCACCCATGGGCAGGGCCTACAGCCTCCCTCACCTGAAGCTGATTGAGGCAATCAGGTTGGAGATTTAAGCTGCTTGCTGACACTGCTTCCTCGCCAGTTCGTCAACTACCCTATGTTGGTAACCAGGCCTCACGCTTCATGTCTATGATCTCAACCTAACCTTGCAATCTTGTGGCCTGCAGTGTCATCTTGCAACCTTACACCACCACGGGACTTCACCGCTCAGGACACGCCACCACAAACCCACCTGGACCGCACCACCTCTCCTTCAATGCTTCCATCTCCCACCTGCACAGAAGATTTTCATAGCTTCCACCCTCTCCAGAACTCCTCATTGGCTACCGCTCTAACACTGCTCTCCTCTCTTCCAGTACGTCACCTAATCACCAGCAGCTGCCGCTGCTTTCTTGGACCTGTCCCCTTGCTTATCCCTCTCCCCTGGCCAAGACCCTCACACCCCATGTGTCAAGCGCTATCGTAAACATCATTTTTGTGCTAGTTAATAAACCTTTGTTAAACCCTTTCCTCAGCCTCCGCTTTGGGTTTTCTGCACGTGGGTTTGATCTTTGGTACTTGGCCGTTTTGTGACACACTTTAACTTTGCAGTGCACCTCTAAAATGTTCAGTGTGGTGTTTAATTTTTTGGTATGAATCTGAAAAGTCGTAGCTTACACTAAGCTTTCTCTGCTCATGAATTCCACTACAATTACTGTATCCTTTTTTGTTGTTGTTGTGTAGTTGTAATAATGATACCTTATCTTTGATGCTCATAAAGACACAGCAGTGTAATTATTGGAAACACCTTTGTGATTCTAGCCCACAATGCATAATGTAATAATTCCAGCCCAGCTGGCTAAAACAGCCCAGCTTCCGCTCTGTCTTTATCCTTTAATAGCAGCTTTTTACTAATTTGAACAGAAGTAGGTGTGGCTTCTGTACCTGGGATAACATGATAGATGTATTACCTCTCAGTGACATCATACAGAATTTAAAAAAAAAAAGTTTAAAACTGTCTCAAACATAAGCTTTAGGCTCACACATATTACTTGTACATGCAATAACCTCGTTATCTAAAACTTTGGCATCCTTAAAATGAGCATGGAGCATTAATACATAAAATGATTCATAATAACAAAAATAGGAAAATAGAAAAGATCTTTAAGAATGGGCACATACCTGGTTTATCTTGTTTTCCAGCTCCTGTTTTAGGGCCTTTATATCTTCCTCAACCTCCTTCCTCCTCTGCTGTTCACCCCGAATCTTCTTCTTGAACTGCAAGAGAAGAAAGAAAGAAAATACATTTATATACATATAAATGTAAATTTAAAACTAAAATTAATTTTATTAATCTTGTGTTGAACATTTGTGGTAAGATTTTGTTTCACTTCCCTCCTGTGTGAAGAGTGTTTTTCAAAGAGCAGATTATAAACTCACTGACCTCCTCCTTGTATCTTTCTTTTAGTTCACTCAGCTGTCGCTCAGACTTTTGGCTCACCTCTGTGAGAGACTCAAACTGACACTTGGACTCTTGTAGCTAACAAACAAAGAAACATGAAGGATTTTGAACAAATTGTAAAGCCTTGAAAAACACACAAATGTTATGGTGGATATGTAGATCTTTATATAATGAATACGCACCTCTTTGTTTTTATTCTCCAATTCATCCTTCAGAGTCTGCACATCTTTCTCAGCTTTCTCTCTGCTCTGCTGTTCATCCTTCAGCTGCTGCTGGAGTTCACTTACCTTGATTTCAAGCTGGGAGGAAAGAGAAGAGAATGTAAGTCTTTGAAAATGATTAGAGAAGATGAGACATGTCCTTTTTGTGGGTTTAGTAAGGAGATTTACATTTATTTATTTTTTGTTAAAATTTGGATTTGCGATTTGGAAAAAAGCAATAATGCTAAAATACATTATTTGTCTGATGCAATGTTGCATCAGACAAATAATGTATCTACATGTATCTACACTTTATTGCTACAGCAGCACCTTCAATAATCTTGTGTTTAAATGTAGTATATGTTACTTGTTAAGTACAAAATGTACAGCTGAATAATGTCTGAATAAAACTGAATAAAATAGTTTTCTATAATGTGTTTGAGTTAACACAGTGGTCCCCAACCCCCGGGCCTCGGGTCCGTGAGTCGTTTGGTACCAGGCCGCGAGAGTTGAGGCTCAGGTGTGAAATGTATGGTTTTCAGGGTTTTTATCGGTTTTCAGCGTTATTTTGTTATCGTTTTTATCGTTAACTCGGTTTTCCTGGGTCTAACAGCGAGGATAAGACTATTTTTCTTTTTATAGTATATAATACTGAGGTAGGAAGTCTTGACATTTCTCTGTTATGAT